AGTAGAAACAGTTTACAGAATCTGACTAGCTTTCCAGGTCTGAGTCTGATTCAAAGAAAAATTTTATTTCCTCCACAATGGCTGATTCCCCACATTAAGGTAGTCCAGTAAACCTGCAATGTTTATTTCAACTTTTTTTGCAAATTTCTAACTACTTAATAACTGAGAGTGAGGTCGTTATGGGAAAATCTCAAACTGAGGCCTTGCCATATATGGTAGGCCGAGGTTTGAGATTTTTCCCTGACGACAGAACAGTCGAGATTATTAAGTTGTTTGTTATATGGCTTATGAATTAAGGGCCCATTAACCGATCTTTTCGAGCCGTTGCTAAAGGAAAATTTACTTTCATATAACCTCATCATTTTTAGTTAGTTCAGAGTTATTTCATGTGTTTTAACTTTTTCATGATCAGCAACACTAGTGGTCATGTGACTAATACTGTTAGCCCATGGTCATGTGACTAATACTGAAAAAACGCAAAGGCTCCTAGGCAAATTACTTTATTGGGATTTTTTTCATTGATTTAATATTTTAATTTTAATCCTCATGATGCCATGCAGAGATTCTGTTTCATTTCTAAAAGGTCAGATTTTGAGAGAATTTCAAAATACTAAAAAATTTGTAACTTTCTGAAAAAAGCATGATTTCGAAAAAGGAATGCATAGCTATGTTTCCAATGTTGGCTTTAATCGAAATCTGTCAAAAAAGGTTGGATTTAATGAAAAACTGCATTTCCTTTAGCATTTAAAGAAACCGGAAGTGCGCCTGATTTATGTTGGAAGTTACCCTATTAGCGCTTGCGCAATGTACACTACCAGCACACTTCAGTAAGATCAAACAAAGCCACACGCAGTTAGTTTTTCTCTTTCTATTGCTCTTGTTTTTCTGTCTTTCTCTTATTTTGTCTTTGCTTGTAGTTTTCTTACTTTGCATTTTGTGAAACACAAAGAAAAATATCTAAAATGTAAGTGAATTTGGAAGTTATCGAGTTGTTTTTATTTTCCGTGCTCAGGCTGATGTAAGTAACCAGAAGTGATGTGCAGGTGAATTGCTGTCGAAATCATCGTGAGTAGTGATAAGTTAATAAAGATGGTGAATTTTAAGTTCGGTAATGAAATGTGAAGGTGAATTAATCAACATGACTCTAGCGTGGGACTAAGAAAAATTCTGAGTCCCTGACAGGAATCGAACCCATGACCTCCCGAACACCGGGTGGGCGCTCTATCCACTGAGCTACGAGAACTCATGGAGAGCAAGGGTATTTAACTGAGTTCATAAATCGGTTAATGGGCTCTTGAAGAAAAGAGAAAATTATTCGAGCGGAAGTCGTCAATTTACATCCGGTGATGTGCGCGTTTACCGATTCATTCATCGTCTCAAACCCAGGGCAAAACTAACACCGCGGCAAAACGTATGCGCATGCGTCAACTTCAGTATTTCCGGTTTGCATGTGTTGCTCGGTGGCTCAGATTAATTTTGTCGTTGGCCTTGCTGTGTTTAAGCTTGTTGTTGTGAATCAGCAGCTACAGATGGAAGAAGAAAGGACCACAAATACAGAAAAGGTATGTAGACAATAACTTGTTCCAATTACTGATCCTGGAAATGTTCGTTGGACCTTTTACGAAATGTTCCACAGTGGCCATCATTACTGACTAGTAAGCCTTTTGCCAGTTCATGTTTTACATCAGCTTACGTACATTTATTTGATAAGTAGGTTTAAATGTATGCAACTGTACAGTTGATGTGGACCTACTACTACTAAGTCTAAATGAGGAAAACAGAAATTTACAATACAATTGTCATAATACTTAAAATAGAGTACAGTGGTTAAAAAGAGGGATCAAATAATTTGCTTGGACTACTACAAGATTATAACCGTTGAAAAAGTTTTTCATGGTGACAGACAAGACCCCAAAGTCTATTTGTTGTTTATCAATTTTATTTAGCTTATAATACTATGAATTTCATAATGGAAGTAATCTCACGATTTCAACTTGTTGGGCTGATCATGAGAAGTTCACTCAAAACTCAAGCTACATGTAAGAGTCAAGCCCTTAATACATGAAAATACAAATTTTCTGTTTGGAAATAAATTTCAATTTTACTTTCAGAATTTCATGATTACGACAGCAGCAAGATTGCCTTCTTTGTTGAGCCATTCTAAATAAAATGCCAGAGAACTTTGAGGTACCATTTAATTAACATTCAGGGTGGATAGGTCAAAGGAGTCTTCAAGTTGTACATTGCCAGTAATAAGAGGCAGAACACCATTACAAAACTGTGTAGTAACTCAATCATTTGAAACAATAAATTTATTAATATTTAAAATTACTTCAGTGACTAATATGATTTTCCATGTCACAATAACATGTTTCCTTCATGCTCCACTGTTTTGCTAGCCTATCCATATGTACACAAAAGACTGTTCAACTAACTGGACATATTTTTAATTCACAGTATTTTAAAGTTATAGCTTTCAGATGTTAAACTACCGTACTTTAAACTCACTTAAAGTACATTTGAAATCTGAAGGTTTACAAACATTGGCTGCTCCCTGAGGAGCCTGCTTTTTTGACCATCCACATCCCTTCTGCTTGTGCTGAAACCTAAAATTCTTCCAGAATTGATAACATCTCAGGATGCTCCATGTTGCTGGATAAGTAATTCCTCTTCTTTGTTGAAGTGTATTTGTTTTCTGAGATCTATAAAAAGAATGATATTATAGCAAGTTAACTCACTGGAACCACTTTAAGTTATGTCCTTATGCCTAAATCAAAGGGTTAAATGTGAAGAAAGGTAAAACATCTAATAATCTTACTTTGTTATATAATAGCACTGACATTTTTATTGGGGTAAAGCTGTTTCTGCTGTTCTAGTTAAGAAACATGCAATAATTAATTGACAGACTTTTTAAACTGAGTGACCTTATGGTCTTTCAAGGAGACATGTATTTTAAATACATGTACCTAAGGGCCCATTAACCGATCTTTTGGAGCCGTTGCTAGGGAAAATTTATTCTCATATAACCTCGTCATTTTTAGTTACTTCAGAGTTATTTCATG